GAAGTTCACACGTGTATAGTATTTATCAGGCTCAATTACCTGAGCAGTTAGTTTGTATATCTCCAAGATGTAAGTTACTGGCTGCCAGTTACATATGGTGTGGGAATGGTAGCTAAACCAATAGTTTTGGTAAGCCTCAGTTGTGGGATTAGAGGTGTATCTGGTAGACTAAATTTTGTCACAAAGAGGTAGAAAGAACATGAAATAAACACACACACACACACATATATGTGTGTGTGTGTGTGTTTTCTATATAATATATATGTCCCGGGTGACCATCCATTGAGTTCAAGGAGATTTTAATCATAGCAACCCTACAGGACAGGGCGTAAGAACCTGCGTGGGTTTCTGAGACTGTAACTCTGTATGGGAATAGAAAGTCTCATCTTTTTCTCTCTAACAGGGTGGTGGTTTCAAAAGACTAACCTTGTGGTTTTCAGTGCAATGTGCAAGCTACTATGGCACTGAGGGTTTATACCTCCTGAACCTTAGAACCTCTCGAGAACAGGTTTGCATACTGAGCCCTATTGGCAGAAGTCCTGATGAGCCATGGGTTGACATGAAGGACATCATTGGAGGGAAAAGCAAAAGTACATTGAAAAGAAAGATTAAAGTGGATGTCATAAGAGACTCTGAAGCTTATGCATCATGCTAGAGTAGTTAAGGCAAGTGGAAAAAACATGAAATCACATGCTGAACAAAAAATTTCAAAAGTATCTCAAAAGGATTATGTAAAATACAATAATTTTATAGGTCCACGAAGACCTAGAGTTAGAAAAACAGAAAAGAAGAAAATATTCTGCATATTATAAATTGAAAGGACTAAAGGAAAAGCAAAGCCTCAAGTGGCAGTATTTAAAGTTTCTGAGCAAAATACTGAATGATTAAGCAAGCATCAAATGAGTGTGGAAATAACATGCACAGTTATTGTACAAAACAAACTAGTAGACATTCCCAATTTTAAGATGCATCATATGCGCAAGAACTAATGGGACTGAAGTGAAAGATCCAAGCTGTACTGAAAGCATTAGTCAAAAACAACTTTTCGTGGGATCAATGGCTCACAAGTTGAAATGTTTCAACAAAGTAATGAAGCACAGGAAGTTCATACTTATGTACGCTAGGAAATTTGGAAGACAGCTCCTTGTTCAGCAGATTCAAAGATTTATATTTCTACCCATTCCAAACAAAGGTGACCCAACAGAATGCTCAAACCATGGAACAATATCATTAATATCACAAAGGATAACCTTGCTGGTGTCAGATAGATCTTTGCTCAAAGCAGAGAATACCAGAAAGATGTTTACTTGTGTTTTATTGGCTATGCAAAGGTATTTAACTTTGTGGATCATAGCAAACTATGGATAGCCTTGAGAAGAATGAGAATACCAAAGCATAGCTTTGTCCATTGATCAATAAATGTGAATGGAACTCGGAAGACTACATGGTTAAAAATCAGGAAAGGCCTGCATTGAGATGGTATCATCTCACCAAACTTATTCAATCTCTATGCTGAGACAAATATAGCATAGATGAAGAAGAATTTGACATCACAATTGGCAGAAGGCTTATTAACA